TAATCGTTGTAATTTTATTAATTAAAATTGAGTGTAAAATTTATTATTCTTATATCGGTGTAAATTGATCATGTCCCTGTATTATATATATACTAATCAATTATATGTAATAGTTCAATGTTATACAATTTTTTAATAATATAATTGCGTGAAAGTAGTAATATATAATGTAAACTATTTATATATATACAGATAGAATACCAACTTTTTGTTTTATATGAAACTATCGTGCCTTATTTAGAAGCTTAGTGCTAATATTCATCGACAAAAAACAAGAAGAATTCTTTAAATCATTATTGGATGTCTTGTTTTACGACCTTTGTAATACTAAAGGGAAAATCTTGGAAGCTATATACTAGTTCAAGTTACAGAAAAAAGAAATTTATTTTTTACAAAAAAGTTATTATTATTAGTTTATTCAATTAACTTGTTGTGTACCAATGTATGTGTAAAGAACCTTGGGATACACCACTCCAAAAGCTAGCTCAAAAGGTGGGAGTGCCCAAGGCCTTATAAACTCCACATTAGTTGCTCATACAACCAATGTGGGACTATATATCTCAACACGCCCTGTTAGGTTTCTAAAACCTAAGGAAGAACAGGACAGAGATAAAAGAAGAGGAGAAATTGTTGAATTTGATTAACCAATGCCTCAAATTGTTGAATATATGCACGTAGGGAAGATGTTTGAGTCAATTTGGATAAAGCTCCTTTTAAATTTGTAAAGCCAGACATGCCAAAACGCTGGCGAAGAGCAGAAACAAAATCAGACCATGCACGAGCCTTACCATTATTGAAAGTCCATTGAAACCAAGAGGCAGCCATGCCTTTCATCTTCAACCCAGCCAAAGCAACCTTTGTTTCCTCGGGAATCAACTGAAGAGTAAAGAACAACTCTGCTTTAAAAATCCAGTTGTTAGGATCAGTACCATTGAAAACTGGTATCTCCATGCGAACCCCCTTGAGTAAGGAACGATGATCCATGGAATCTGGTTTGGTGTAATTGTGCGAAACAGGAGAATTATTGGTGTGTGAATTACCATGCTTAGGCGTTTGATTAGCCATAATCGTTTCCTGCAATTGTTGCATCTGTAAAACCAGTAAGGAAAACTGGTTCCTGGTTTCATTAGCCTGAACCGTCGCTTGCATACGAAGTTCCTCCAAGTTCGAGTCCACTCGTTGCTGAAGTGAATGCAACTCCTCCGATAATTCTTGAATCCTCGTCATGGAAGAAGAATAGGAGAATGGATGAAAGCACCAATGTTAGGTTTCTAAAACCTAAGGAAGAACAGGACAGAGATAAAAGAAGAGAATGAAATTCAGTTTATTGATCTTGAATGAATGAATCCATAGTTCTTTACAGTTCCTATTTATAATCCTTCCAATATAACCAATTGACAACTACACACGCACGTGTAGCTTAACTAACTAACCGACTAATAAGGGCATGCAACTGTACACGTGCAGTAACCAACTAACAGAGCATTACAAATGGAAGCATGAAGTATAAGTCACGCTACAAAGTCTGTTAGCATAGATGAACGCTTCCTACTCCTCGTGGACCTTCGCATCGTAACACGCCCCCTCACGCAGGAGCCCTCGTGGAAATTGCACAGGCTCAATCTTTGGTTTACCTTTTATGCTGTTTTTTTTTTAATTCCACTTTAAAGTGGGGAGCGGTGAGGCTTTGATACCATGATAAAGAACCACTTCAACCCAAAACCTTAAGGTTTTGGGTTGAAGTGGTTCTTTACATGGTATCAGAGCTTCAGGGACCACGAGGTCACGAGTTCGATCCTCACCGTCCTCCACTTTCAGGTGGAATTACGAAAAACACAAGGTAGACCAAAAAAATGGGCTTGTGCAGCATAAGGCAGACCAATAATGGGCTTGTGCCATATTCCACGCTTCAAGCTCAAAGGGCTCTTGCGTGAGAGGTGTGTTAGAGAATATAATATAAATCATTAAAAAGTCTCTCACCCAACACCTTAAGGTTTTGGGTTGAAGTGGTTCTTTATCAGTATGTAGCCTGAGTAAAAAAGACTCTGATCCCTAAAGATTTTGAATTTAATCTTATAATTTGTGTATATAAAAGAAGGGAAAAACTATTCTCATGCTACATGAGATAAGTTTTTTCTTCTACACACCCTTTGATAATTGTACCGCCTTTTTTATATTTTTTATTTTTTCAGGTGGTGAAACCCACAAGGTTGTTTCTATGACATAAAATAACTTATCTTCTTTAACATGAGGTTAATAAAACCCATAAAAAAATATCATTGAAAGCGGTTTCCAATTTCAATGTCTCACGACTGCATGAAAAGTTAGTCTCTTATCTATGTTGAGCTCACAATAAGTATATCGATGGTACAAGTAATAAAGAAAATGAGTAGAGTATTGTTCCCACGAAGATTAGTGTTTCAAGCATTAATTCACTATTTTTACTTAAGTTGGACAAATCAAAATTGGTTTGGAAAGAGTAATTTTTAATTGATGGAAAGCCAATTAAAGAAAACAAAGAACAAATGCCAAGTAACAATTAATGCAAGGAAAACAATGAAAGAGTATTGTAATCCAGTAGGGTTAGCTTAGTGGTGTGGGGTGTGTGTAGTGTAGTGGTATGTATTCAATTCTCATGTAATGCAAAAAAAAAAAAACAATTAAATGCAAGGAAAAGAATTCTAACAATGAAATATTAGTATTAAATCAAGAATGAAAAACGCATTTAGGGTTTATTTCACCTCTGATCCCCCTTAAATGGTTTAACTCAATTCAATAATTTCTATCTCTATTGTTTCAAACAATTCATCATCTAAATTCTAAAAGATAATTGGTTAAATATTTAATGTCATAGTTATTTAACCTTTTAACCTAATTAAAATTCTAATTTCTTAGAAACCTTTTTAGATTAAGCCTTAACCCCATTGAATTTCACAAGTTTCCAAATCTTACAAGTCTATATCTAGAATATAAGAATTGGTGTTTATCCCTGCTTTGGTTGCTAATCTTTCAAGCACCTGTCGCATGGTCCGCAGGAAATGGCGCCACCGCTTTGGTTCCTAATCTTAAACTTTTTTTAGCACCATCAACGTTCAACTTCACGCACTCATGAGGAGGGGGGGGGGGGGGGGGTTTCCCATTTGATCATTTGCTTGGTTATCCGAGGGGAACAAAGACCACCATCCAGCAGAGCTCTTTTGGCATCCACAATACTTCCCACGTAGCACCACGTACATTCTTGAGATAATAATATGAGGAGGAATCGTCTTATTCTGGAAAACAAAACTGTTGCGTTATTTCCATTCCTTTGAAATCTAAACATTTTAGTTTGGTTAATGCTTTGGACCTGACACTTAGACAACCCAACATGAGAATTCCGCATCATCGCGAATGGTAAATAGCTAATAAGGATTCCATAGAATTAGGTAAAGTGCTACCTTTAGGTATTCCATCTATGAATAATTATGACTCATTTGGATTTGGATGAACTTTTTTTTTTTCAAAAATTAAATATTTTTTTCAAAAATTAAATATTTTTATAAAAATATAAATAGCTTTAAATTTTGTAAAAACTACTTTTAAAATAAGAAAGTGATAAAAATTACTTTTAAAAAAAAGCTGAAACAAACGAACTCTTAATACTCTAAGAGTACTGTTATGCACACACTGACACACATGAAGATATATGGGGCCACAATATACGATATTATATGTGGATATTGAGTAAATTCTAAATAATAATAATAATAAAAAAATCACTCCTCAATTAAACCCTAACAAGTATGGGATGGGACAATCTTTGTACGTAATCTGAGGATACACATGGCCGGCCACAATATACGACATTATATATACCATTAAGTGGATATGGAGTAAATTCTAACCGTAAATAAATTAGCTGCACGATAAAACATATAATATATATAGTGGTTTTGACCGTCAATAATTACGACTTTACTAATGAACAGTACAAGCAGTTGTCTAAAATATTAATGTATGTGTTTCATAGAGAAGATATAATAGTAAATAATCTTGTTTTTACATGGGCTGTTTTGGCTGCTACTTTTTTTTTATAATAAGTTAATAACATGCTAAATTTTCTTTTTGTATTCGTTTTATGCAGTATATCGACAAGAATATTTGCTTTCATAAATGTATATAATTTGGGATTAATATTTCTTATGTTATATATAAAAGATATTTTTATCTCCTATACATGTATAAAAGTGTATGGAGTCCATATAGAACCATGTCTGGAGAAGAAAGAGAAAAAGGAAACATGAGTTCTATTTCCTCTAATATTAGACATATTAATCTCATTTAATTTTGTAGGAGTAGGGAGAAACGGGTAGAACAGATGTTTGACTCAAAAGGGAGTTTTGTTCTCTAATCATATCGATGGAGGATGGGAAGTCTTCAGCACACGTGCAGTTGTAAGGATTCTAAGCTAAATGTTGTTAGTTACGCCCGAAAGCTGATCAAAACCTAAATCATCCATCCGTGTGCGTATAACTTTCAAATGGTCTAACAAGAATACCAAACCCCATCTTTTTTTTCATTCCCAAATATAATTCCTCTGTTATGTTACTTGTAAGACAAATATACCCCAACGGCTGTTCTTAAGTAAATATTATTCCTTTTGTTGATTTTTTTTTTATCCCGCCGATGGCCTAATTTTCTAAAAGCACTTTATTTGGATCAATTATTCACACTCCCACACAATATGGCAAGGAAAGTGTTAAAAGTTTTATGGTTGATGTAACATACTAAGGCATACCCATTAGGAAAAATCATCTAGCTAGGTTCAATTCAGTCTTATTAGTAAATACATAAATATAGAAAATAAGCAAGCTTGGTGGGTTATAAGTAGACGTTGTAGGTTAGAAACTTGGGAAGACGTTGAAAGCAGAACCAAACTCGCTCCACTAAGCAACCTCTTTTCTTTGCTCACATCACATGTATATATTTATGTTACTTATAACGGGGTTTGTTAGCCAAAACGTTTGCATCAATCGCAGGTGCAAGGTCTGTCCAAACCTTCCCATTCTCTAACGGAAAACACTTTCCCATCTTCCCCTGGCCGGCCACCTTATATTCTCTTTCTGTTTCTCTTTAATTCCTCTCCCTTGTCTTCATTGTTATTTTGTTTCCCTTTCCTTCAGTGTTAATTCTTTTCCCGTCATATAGCAAGAGGGAGAGGATCATCAGAGTATGCAAACCCTATTCTTGAATTAGGGTTTTCTGTTCTCTCTTAATTTGTTGTACTCGTTCCTATAGCTAGTTTGTAGAGAGAGCTAACTAATATGTGCAGTAGAGGCCATTGGAGGCCAGCAGAGGATGATAAACTTCGGGAGTTGGTGGAACACTACGGACCTCATAATTGGAACGCTATAGCTGACAAACTCCGAGGAAGATCAGGTGAAATGATCAGATCAATTATCCGATTAATCTTCTTATAAATTAAATAACTTTTATCTATATATCTAGCTAACTCATCAGATAACAATTTAATTAATTAGAAATATTACCATCTTAATTTGCCCTAGCTAAAGATATATACATTAATTATTGAAACTACAACTAAAGCAACTAATTATGTGAAACATATATATATATATATATATGTTAGGTGGCTAGTGATGTAAACATAAATAATTATAACTTAAGGTAACACACTATTGTCTTCAATTTCTACAGGGAAGAGCTGCAGGTTGAGATGGTTCAATCAATTGGACCCAAGAATAAATAGAGGTCCTTTCACAGAGGAAGAAGAAGATCGTCTTGTAGCATCTCACAGAATTCATGGTAACAGATGGGCTGTTATTGCAAGACTTTTCCCCGGAAGGACTGACAACGCTGTCAAGAATCACTGGCATGTGATGATGGCAAGGATTCGTCGAGAAAGATCTAAACTTTATGCTAAACAGCCTCCTCATCAAAGAATTTTTGACGATGAGACACGAATCCTCCCTTCTTTTGTAGACAAGTATAGCAACACTAGTGTCACATATACCCCTTTTCAATTTCCCAATAACTTTCACTTTCAAGATCCAAGTTCTTGCTCTACCATGCTTCAAGGTGCGTACAATATGATATATATCCATTTTTCAAACTTCATATATATATATAGCCGTAATTATGTATTATTGCTCCGTTTGTCCACCATTCTTATTTCGGCGTTGTTTAAGTAGTAGTGTTGTACGTTTCAATAATGAATATTTTATTTGTGTTTGGTTAATATTGCAGATAGAAGTCAATCGGTTGAGTTCTATGATTTTCTTCAAGTAAATACTGATTCCAATAAAAGCGAAGTAACGGACAATTATCCCAGAAGAGATGATGAGGAAGTAAATCAAGATACTGTGGGGACGCAGAGCAGGGATGGCGTTCCATTCATTGATTTTTTGTTTGTTGGAAGCTCTTAACAATATTCAAGATGTTGCATTGACAGAAATAAGTAAGGCATTTAAGAATATATATGTAGTTGTAAAACATGTTTAAAATTCTTATTAGAAGCTCTAGATCTATGTATGTCAAAATATATTAAAGGAATTTAGAAATGCTATAGATATTTGCATTCTTCATGATCTACGGTTCTTTTAAGTCGCTTGGGGTTAGAATTTGCTAGGGGGAGCTAGCGGTGGGAGGACCATCTAATGGTATTTTTATAAAATTGCTGTATCCTGTAGCTCTAGGTCACATTATCTGCTTAGCACATACCATATGTTATCTTCAGAGAGAAAGCAACAAGAAGCAATTGCATACTCCATTCTTGTCATAAAATTGAGAGGAGTCAAATGCTCTTTTCAATTGCGTTTAGAGTCAATAATGCATTTTTTGCGATTGTGGGCATTGGAATGCGAATTATAGACAGTTCGCAAAAAATATAATAAAATTATACATATAATTGTTGGAGGAGGGTTTTATTGACAAATTTTTTTTCTTTTACAAATTATACTATGTCTTACCGGTAAGACTTCACTCAAAAGTGTCTTATCGGTAAGACATAATGTAATTTCTAAACAAAAAATTTATAAATATAATATTCTTTTAACTGTTGTGCTTCATATAAAATTTAATTTATTTATGTGTTTATATTGTTTGATGCATTTAAATAAACCATTATTTGTTTTCTCAACAAACTATTAGCTAGTTTGTTGAAAGAAGCAGAATGTAAAAGTTATAGTATGAACATGCGCATATAATTCAGGCAAGCATTAATATATGATTATAATGTAAAATCAGGGTTATTTTAATAAACAATCATATATGTATTGGGCTTGGGAAAAATTGTAGGGCATTCTGGAGAAATTCATATCACAAGTAAAAATTCTCAAAACATTTTGTATTTTTCTCTAAATCTTACATATTTTTCCCAAAAATATATATATGAAAAGGATCTTTTAACTATGGTATAAAAATAGGAAATTTTATTCCTCTTCTCTACTGTTGATCTTCTAGCATATGGTAGTTGTAATTTATTAAATTATACTCATTAATTAATTATTAATTCTTAATAAATTATAATCGTCAAATATGTGATCAATGGCTAACATAGAAAATAAGGCTTTTTATTTTTACACTAAAGTCAAAAGATTATGCTCATATATATATATATATATATATATGGGATAGGATCAACTTATATCGGTGTAAGAAAAATAATTCTTACACCAAATCTTAATTGTTGATTTCCGTGCATCTAACGGTTAAAATTTATTGGGAATTAATAATTAATTAATTAATGAGACATAATAAATCTGATCCATTAGATGCAGAAAATCAATGGTTAAGATTTGGTATAAGACTTATTATTCTTACACCAGTGTAAGATGATTCTGCCTATATATATATATATATATATATATATATATATATATATATATATATATATATATATATATATATAGGGAAAAAGACTTCTCATGCAATATGTTGTATGAGAAGTCTCCTCTCCTACCACTCTCACTTCGATGTCCATGCCAATCATTTTTATATATTTTTTTTTAAGGTGGGCTCCACTCCTTTTTCTGTCTGTAGAAAAACTTGAATTTCTCATGCAATATGAGAAATTGCAAGCCCATATATATATGGGTTTTATAAGAGTATGTTGTAGGAAAAGTGATTGTGTAATGTTATAGAGATTCGTTTTGCTTGCCTTAACTTTTTTATTTTATTTTTGTTTTAAAAAGTGCGGGTTCCACAAAATGTTGTGTGTGTAGGAAATTTGATGGTGTCATGTTAAAGGACAAACTACAATCCCTATATATATATATATATATATATATATAGAGAGAGAGAGAGAGAATTTGGGAGAGATCAATGAAACATTAGCTGAATACAAGTCAAATTTAATACATAAGCTTGCTTATGTAATTTGGACACAGGAAATCATACTACACTAACATGGAAGAATGGCATAAAGAATCCCCAACTTTCACTTTGATTAGTATCCTATTTCTCTAAAGATATAATCCAAAAATTGCCGAGCTTATTTGATCCCTTTGTTGTTATTGATATGTAGGAAAGATTTGTTGACGGGATAATTGTACGAATCATGGTAGTTTAGGAAGAAGTTATCAATGTTTTGAAAATCCAACCCGATCAACCGGTTTGGTTCAGCTAATAGACTGTATTTGTGATCTATAACCTGTATGAAACCGGTGAACTGGCATAACAATGACCGTCATGCTAATAGTTTATCTTTGTTGTTTTACTATTTATTATTATATTTATTATATATTTTATAAATTCAATTCAAATGGTTTAATTAATGAATCACCGGTTGAATCAATAACTTATTGATTCAGTATCTTGACTAAGTTGATGACCAATCAAACCAAACTAATCATTCTGGTTCAGCTAATAGACCGTACATGCAGTTAACTGGTATCAAAACTCGTGAACTACTTTGACAATGACCATTATGCTACTAGTTTATTTTTGTTATTTAACTACTACTGTTATTGTATTTATTGTATGTTTTAACATAAATTCAATTAAAGTGATTTAATTAGTGAGTTATTGGTTGAATGAATGACCTATTGATTCAATATTCCTGACTAAGTCGACGAGAGATCTAAATTTAACAACATTGAATAACATAAAGAAGGAAATTAATTATAATATAGTAAATCTGAAGGATACATCAAAACCAAAGTCTTGAAAGCTTTATGCTAGTGTTTTAGTATGTCATTGATAATAAATACGCTCCAAGTCCTCTTACAATTTGGATTAGAAGGTGCCTGCTTTCGATGAATTTCAAACCCCCGGACTAAGTCATGCTCCCATAAAGCTTAACTTAGTTTACAAATTGAAAACTAGTTATCAATTGTGCCGGTAGATATATCGAGTTTTATAAGAGTTATGTTGTAAGAAAAGTGATTGTGTAATGTTATAAAGATTCGTTTTACGTGCTGTGATTTTCTTTTTTTCTTTTTTCTTCAAAAAGTGTGGGCCCCACAAAATGTTGTGTGTGTAGAAAAATTTGTGGTGTCATGTTAAATGACAAATACAAACCCCTATATTAATTGGGGTACTACTTTTCCCCATTTCAGTTATTTTTAGAGTAAATACTTTTTTCGGTCCTCAGCAGATTTTATGATGCATGTTTTAGTGCCTAACAAATAAAAAGATTTTTCGTGGTCTCTAAGAAATTCAAAGTGGACCCATTTTAGTCATTTTGAGGGATTAATATGGATTTTTTTTGAATTTATGAGGGACCACGATTTTAACTAAATAGGTCCATTTTGAATTTCTTAGAAATCACGAATAACTTTTTTATTTATTAGGAACTAAAACGGACATAGTAAAATTTGCAGACTATCAAACCGGATATTTACTCTTATTTTTAACTCCTCCAAGGATTGCGATAAATACCTAATCCCCTGCAGAGGTTCTAATAATTGCATTCAGGACATTTTTTTCCCCGAATGACGTAATCTGTGGCAGCATGATCTTGATAGGACTCGGAACTGCTTCTTGATGCATTTGTCTTCATCTCAATCGTTCACACATTAATCCCACTATATAGTGCTGCAAAATAAGGCTTTCTCTGCTTTCAAAGTCTCTTGGTTAATCATGACTTTCTTTAGTGACGTTGAATGAACTATGTTCCTAATTCAAGAACGAGTTAGGTATAAGAGGCAAAAAAAATAAAAATGATACTACAGAAATTTTGTCACAAATTTTTACGTCGCAAAGAAAGATGTTAACGGGTCAAGTCAAGTTGAGTTTTAGTTTTAAAAGATTAAGTCTGTGTTTAAATGTGTCAGCCTGACCAAGCCTGTTACCTGTTATAAATATAACTATCGACATGTGACCTAACTTATTTACAAAAAATAAAAGACTTGTTTAGCCTGTTAGTCTGTTAGAAAAAAAATAAGACAACAAAAATTTATCCAAACAGAATATACAATCAACAACCCTAGTAATTCTATAAATATTCATAAATTCAATTTATATCCAAACAACATAATATAAAACAAAATCATTCAAAAAGTCTGTTTAATCAATAAAATAGGGTGAAATGGATTGAGGAGAAAGAGATGGCTATTACAAGTAGTATAAAAAATATAAAATATAAATAAAAAATAATATACTAGAACAGTCTGAGAGGCTTTAAGGCCGAGCTTTTGAATTAGAGTCTGAGATCTATTTATTAAACGAGCTTTTATAGGCAACAACCAGTCAATATATGCAATAATGTTAAGGATCCTGGTTTTTATTTTAATTGATGGGTCTAAGGCGCTAATGCTCTCCATTTCAAAAATTAATATAAATGCCAATCAATGCTTTAATGAAAAATGAGTTGACATATTAAAACCTTGGCGTCCTAAATATCTGATTCGCCTTGAAAGTTGAAACTAGTTATGCTTAATTCATAATTTGAAAACCATTTTGTTTGCTTATATGTTTGACCGGGCAATAACATCGTGTCAGCTTCCATTAGGCTATCGAAGTCAGTTTTTCTTGGTAGATGAGTATTTTCAATCTTATCTTCACTCTGATAAACAGCCTAATCAAAGATTTTTACTTGTTCCCACAACATATATATAGTTTATTAAATGGAAGAAATTCAAGGACAATTAATTGTCCCACTTTCTTCAATGTATAGTCTGCACACGTCTGGTCTATATATTATAAGGATTTATATATACCTCAGTCAACGCCTTGCCGTTCTTCAACATTGAAAATCCGAAGAATTTAAGCAATCTGACTTCATTAATTACTACACAATTATCTATCTAGATTTCCTTAATTTTTCTAGCAAAGGATTTGTTCGCTCATGACTTGGAATATAAAAGAGACAAAGCTCAACTTTTGTGGTTGGTTTGGTTTCAGATGTATAGTTGGTTTATAAACATCTGCTCAAGAGTCAAAATGCTAATGTGTACCTCTTGTGCATTAAACATCCCGACCTAGGGTACTGTGCGGGATGATGTCATTGATCGAAAATTTGGAAATCTTTGTGTGTCCATTGATATTAGCAAAGCAGAAGAATATATTGA